ATTTAGACAGAATTTCCCTCGTCAATGTACAGCGCGACAAACCCAGATACGAAAAATTATAATTTCTGGTTTTGCGATTTTTTTTATGATAACCCCTAAAAGTTAAAATAAAGATATACATGGACTGTTAAATGTTAAAGTACAAGTCAAAAAGCATTCTATGCGTATGTTACAAGTAAATTTTTCGTAACCAGATTTTGTGACAATGTTTTCAACATTTTAGCAAGGACAAGTACATCAATTTGAATAGATGAATAGTATTGTATTCCCAATTTTTTAGCAAAATGGAGCGAATTATTCTTGATTTGTACCAGTAATGAAAATGTCCAAGAAAAGAATTTAGAGTCATAACTGTTACACGACTAATAAATATTCTTGTAATTTTGTCAATTAATATACAGGGTTATTACGATAAAGTAATGCACAAAATTCATTAAAAGCGCAGCATTTGTTTTTGACAAAAATGCAAAAACATGTCAAGCTTTTTATTTTACTCTCCATTTTTTGACATTTGTCAAAAAAATTTTACGTCAAATTTGTAAAAGTTATGACGTCATCTATGATTTCTTTAAATAGGAGGGTATAATTTTGATTGCATTATTTGATGAAGCTTACTTTTCTGCATATGAAAATGTAGTTTGATGTAAGGGTTGCATAACAAAATTGAGAAAATTAATAAGAAACAAAATAAACATGATTTTAATGATAAATATTAAATTAACAGAACAATACGTGGGAGTAAAAATTTATGCCATAGAAATGGTTCAAACTGTTCCCTATTTACTATCTGACAGAAACCCAGACAATGGTAGACCTGATTGACGGAATTTTCAATACTCCGGGGAATTATACAACGAATTCGTGCTTTCAAGTCGTCTATACAGGGTGACTGCGAAATATACGCAATAATTTTAACCACGGCATCTCCCACCCAAGTAGGGTCGAAATATAGAAAAAACAAATTAAAAATCGAATGGGGCAAAAGCCCCATGAACCACCCTCGATGCGAAGGCACTGAGCCACCTTGTAAACAGAGTTGGAAAAACGTTCGAATAAAAACGACGTAAACACTTTCAGTTTCAGTTAAAAGTAAAACCGACTTTTTGCTGACTATCATTCGTTCATTCATTTATTCATTCATCGTTAAAGGTCAGTGCGAAAATTTTTTGGTAATGCTTCATGATCAATACGCGGGAATTTATCTCACCACTGCAATCCCCCAGTTGAAGTAAGGTGTGTTTTACGGCGAGTAGCGGGGACGCTTTGATCTGGTCCACAAGGTCGTAGCAAGTGCGTCGCTAGGAGTGTTTACAGCTAGTAAAAAAACTACTTCTAATTTACTATTTTACTTCAAATAATAATACTCGATGCCCTTTTTAATTTTTCAACCACAAGACCACATTTGTGATCTTGAAATGTTATAGTATGTTGAAATAGTCCAAAATAAAAATATATTTGTAATCAAACTATCGCCGCGACAGCACTGGTTCTAGCGTATGAAATACAATTCCGCGCGTTGTTCATGATCAACTTTTGATTCTGACGCATGTTTGGTCCTTGCCACAACGATTTTACATTGTTTATTGGAACAAAAATAAGAGCAACTTAGAATGCTACTGCCTTTTTACAAGAAACGTTGAAAATGTTGTCCTTGACTAGCCATACAGGCGTTAGAGCGTCGCAAGATGTTTGTTGATATGTAAAAAACACCGGAGTAGCGGCTGCCACTTTCGCTTGTTGTTGAAGCTCTTCGATAATTTCTGGACACTGTTGATTTCCACAAACTAACTGTTTCATCCAACCGATACACATTTATCGAAAACCGTCTCTTGAAAGCGTACTTGTTGACAAGCATGTGGGATTTCATCCAATAAAAAGTGAGTTACACAACGTGGACAATCAGCAGGCTCCAAACCCTGTACTTTTTCAACATGGTATGGATGTGACCGTGTTCTTTTAATGTAGAATGCATTACAAGCTGTGAAAATCCAACTTCTTCTTTCTGTCCTATCACAGCCCCGATCGTGAGTTCGAGGTTGAATGTACCATGATCTCGGAGTTGCTGTTCCTCTGATGCAAATGTTCGCGCATACCAATTACCATATCGACACACTCTGCATGGGAAAACTGCACCATAAACCGATTTCACCGACCGCTCGATGCTGACTGGTCCTTTTCGTGTTTTTCACGTTGCGATTAAAAATGTACCTGATAAAGTTACTTGTTTGGTTCTTAATCCGAGTCGCTCTGTTCCATCCATTGTAGTAATTATGTAGGTCACGAAACATTACAAGCGGCGCGTATAACAATTTACATTTAATTTCAAATAATTTTTTCTAGACACTGCTACCACTTAGGACCGTGAACTTTACCCAGTGACATAATCATATTGTGAGCTATTCCCCATTTTTTTTGCATGTTTTTCGCAATTACCTTGTATTATGTTCATGTAAACACGACTTTTTAAATGTCCCCATAAAAAAAATCAAGGGGCGTCGGATCTGGAGGTCTGGGTGGCCATTCTATTGGTCCACGCCTTCCATCAAATTGATTATCCAAAAAAATCCTTACATTTACGTCATAATGTGGTGGTGCCCTATCCTGTTGGAAGCAAATCCTGCGATCTAAATTTTGTGGATTATCTGGATTAGGAAACGTGACAATTAGATCCGGAAGCACTGCGGTTCTCTAAGATGATCTAAATATCGATCTGCTGTTAAATTTCAAGAAGTAGAGGCCACTCTTCTGTTTATTATTCCCCCCCCCCCCAAACATTAATTCTTTGGGGACCTTGGGTGTGTGTCGCTTGAAATTAAGTTTGAGGTTAAAAACTTATCTAGCGTAAACTAACTTCAACCACTGTTCCTCAAAAACCAAAAGCACTTTTTCAACATGGGTTAAATTTCCCTTTTACATTTAAGCGAGCTCATGCCTGCTAAACCCCGTAAGGTAATTTGCTTGACGTTTTGGTTGGGCAATTTGTTAACAACAAAATTGTGCTGTAACTGTGTTGTAACACTGTTTAATATCTCATTTATCACTAAATGTGACGTTATAATAAAAGTAATATTGATTAAATGTGTAGGTAATTAATTATATATCAGGTGTAGATTTCCAGTCAAAGTTCAACCAATTCATGGCAAAGTAAATAATTATTCTGTAAATTTACACTTACTTGTGTGTCAAAAGTACGAGGGCAATTTTGTATATTAGCTACCTAGTTATGATAATGAGGTCACAAAAACAAATGGCTTGGGTATCAAATAACTGCTAGTGTAGTAAGTACTTTGACGTAATTTGGTAGGGATCCACAACATTGGGCATTGTTGGCAGAAAATTTGGGGTTTTGTGAAGAACTGATGAAAAGACGATCGATATTGTCAATAAGTTGTTTGGTCTTCAGATATGTATGCAGAGACATTTGGCATTATGTGCAGAAAAATGCTAAAATTTGCAAGAAAAAATACTTTGTTTTTACACATTAATTTTTATTTCTTCCAACACTTATAAATTAGATAATACATATTTGGACTTAAACTACACATTTACAAATGAAAGCTTCTCTTGTAGAGAAAGGAGGATTTTGCAAATAAGCCCCGCCTTCTTGGTTCACGACGAATAAAAAATCATCACTATTGAGAGAGGGTGGGTGGGCGGGGCTTATATTTTGCTCCGCCCCTATATCTGCCAACGAATGAAAACTTCATTACTATTTAGATTAGGACAGGTTTGGGTGGGGCTTAATCTTTGGCTTTAATTTTTTCTTAATATACATAGTATTCTGTAAATAACACGATCCTCAAAAATTTCTTACATGGTAATTTCTTGTAGAGAAATAATAAAGATTTTGTAATTAAATTCCGTCCCTCGGCTTACGATGAATAAAAAAAATCGTCAGAATTGAGATAGGGCGGGTGGGCGGGGCTTATATTTTGCCTTTTTTCTTAATATACGTAGTCATCTTTTCCGAACAAGAAACTTAACACATGTTTAAAATGGTAAATTCTTGTAGACAAATAAGTCCCACCCCTCGATCTAATAACGAATGAAAAATTCATCACGATTGAGATCGAAATAGATGGGTGGGGCTTCTCTTTTGGTTTTCTTTTTTAATTAAAACATTTAGTTTTCTTTGTATAAGACGATTACTTATGAACATATTTCTCACGGTAATTTATCGTAAAAAAATGAGGATTTTACAATTAAGCCCCGCCCCTCGGTTTTTTTTTAATTTACATAGCCATCTTTGTACAACAAAAAACTTAAAACATGATTGAAATGGTACATTTTTGTAAAGAAATATGAATTTTGCAATTGATACAATTTTTCCATTTTAAAGATATTTTAAGTTTCATGTTGTGAAAAGAGTCTACACATATTAAAACAGAATTACCGCATCCCTCCTAGAGCCCGGATTTAGCACCATGCTACTTGTTTTTGAAGTACATCGAAAAAAATACCTCAGGAGTCCGAAATTTGCCTCAGATAATGACCTGAAAAGCGCAGTACCGTCGTTTTTTGAAGTGCAGACAAATTATATTTTTTTATGAAATGAAACAGCTGGAGAAACGCTGGTCTAATGTATTAGTATAGATGACTGTTAGGTAGAGAAATAATTTTTGAAGCTTTGTACGGTTTCCTTCATAGTTAGGTAGATAATATTAAAAATTGCCCTCGTAGTATAAAAACAACTACGTAGGTTTTTGAACTTGTGTTGATTAAAGGGGATAACTTTAAGTTACGACTATTTAAATACTTACTATAAACATTAATTTACATTAATACGTTAGCTTAACACAATAATGTATGTACATTAAGAGGAATTAACATATTTTTGCAGTCATAGTCGAATAAAAAAGAAGCATTAGTAAAGACGGAATCATAAAAACAAATACCGAAAGCCGCACACAACGGTTCAACTTGTTCTCGCTAATCACATATAATTCCGATAATAAATTGAACATTTCATCGCTGTTCCAGCTTATCACAACACCACTTACGTGAAATACTGTCCATCATCTAAAATCTCTCGGCTATTGTTCACATGTACGGCTTCAGCAGGCAATCCATTAACGTACCACGTGAGGTTAACTGCAGGATTTGAGTGTTCTGATGTACAAGTAGCCTTCAGTACATCCCCGTAGTGGTAACGTTTCCTGTTGATGCTTACGAAAGGATCCTTCTTGGGTAAATCCACCACCTACGAACAAAAAATTGCCTGTAATCCCTATCGGAACGATGTGGAGAGAAGTTGTCTTACCTGGAGATTGGCATTTTGGATCAACGTATAAAAGCTGGGGGCGTCAGCAGAGACTTCGCAACTGTAGCGTCCACTAACGGACCTATTAACATGTTCAAGGACTATTGAAGTGTCGTTGGAATCTTCCGTACGTATAGATAGACCGGGTGTAGGGAACTGCTTAATTGAGGGTTTCTCGTTGGGAGTGTACCGGTAAAATTCCGTTGTATACCAATACCATTTGACCGCATATAACTGTTCACCCTCCAGATCGTAGTAGCAATGCAAGTAGGCGTCATCCCCTCGGACCACCGCCGAGGGAACGATGATACGGACATCACGCAATCCTTGAATGCCTGCAAGGAAACATTGACATGAATAAGTAATTTAATTCTCGAAGAATTTGAAGTGGATGTTATTGTTATCGGCACTAAGAGAAATCAACTGATTAGTAATTATATTATTATCATATATACAGGGTGATTTACCTAAGAGTATTTTTTTTATTTTCAGTGAAAATATTCTGTTGAGTTATACAGGTTGGTATGTTATTTCTTTAGAGAAATAAAATTTTGCAATTCGAGGCAATTATCAATAATTTTCGATTTTTTTGTAAACATTATTTAATTAAATTGTGTTTAAAAAAAAAATTAAAATGTAAAACAAAATTGTATCTTTTATTTTGGAAAATACTTATATAATACCAATTGCTCTAAAATTTAGCACATGCTTCGAGGTTATTGCGAGACTGATCGATCCCTAACCGAAATTTGATCATCCCTACTAGAAATTTCAGGATGTCATCTCCAAGGTTTAGTATGTAAATTATACTTACAATGTGTAAGAAAAAACTACTTATGCGTTCCTATTATCCTAAAAACCACCTTCATTTTATAATTATCAAAATTGACTACTCGAAGCTGAATCTGTTTTGAATGAGTGCTCCAACGTTAAAATAAATGCCATGGCCGCATGTGGAATTCTTAGCTAATTTCATGTGCCTACGCTATACAATAGAGCTATTCACACTTAACTAAAGAATATTTTAATCGACGGCAAAACATTCATGTTTTGAACGCTATTAATAATTCTTAATAAAAAAAAATCGGAAGCTAGCATTCTCACAAACATGATAATCAATAACTCTGTTAAAAATGTATGATTACTTTTATGTTTGTAACAAAGAAATAGAAATGTGTGGTACTTAAAATGCTTTAAAGTGATATTCAATGTTTCTCTCGACTTGAGATTTATTGTTTTCCAAAGACTGCTGCCCGATTTACGTAATAAATAATTCATACAGTATTTCACACTAAAAATTCTGAAAATATAGGTTACAAAGGGAACAGTGCAGAGTGGTTCATAAGTAGAACTATGGTAGAAAATATCGTCCCCACATTGTCATCATACGCTAAAGCAAACTCTCACGAAACTAATAAGCTGCAATTGTGAGGTTGGTTCGAAGAGAAATAATCTCAGAGGGAGTATATTTCTAGAGCTATAACAGGAAAAATAAGAAAAGCATACGCACGCATATCATATCTTTCCGACTTTGTTTGGTGAAAAGTGGAATAAAACTATGTTGAAACGTATCGTTTTAGTTCGGATGTAGAATATCATCCTTCAATTTTTCCACTGGAAACATGAAAAACACATTTGTCACGTATCATGTTTATTCAATTGAAGCGTCTTGCCTCAACTTGAATATTCGCGAGTCTTTGGCGAATTTATTTTTGATATCGTTTGGAGAAGTAAGTAAATGACGAGATGTGAGGTACTTCATCGATTTTGAAAAGATGCGCAGCTGCACAAATACCTACGTAGATAAGTGATTTATGTACTAGTTCAAATAGTACATTTTATTTGGTATTGTATTATTGTATTTGTTGTGGTAGGATGGATTATAATTTCATTGTCCGGAAATTCTGTTCGTCGGTTAAATATTAATACCTAATTTAAGTATGAATTAGTAATAAGTAAATATATTCGTATTGCTAGCAGTGGTAGTTTTGTTAGTTCGAAAAATAAGTTTGCTCAGCTAAAACAATGTCAGTGGGAGTTAACCACTGAATATGACAATAATTAGAACCCAGGGTAGGTACCTGATGACGTTCTGAAAAAAAGATGTATATTTTAGAAAAGTTGGTTTGAAAAGCTTGTTTTCATCCACAATAATTTTCATTTAATCGAAGTCGCTCGTCTAGCACGAAAGGTAACAAACATTCAAAATTTAAATTTGATTAATTAACATTTACTAGTTTAATAATGCTTTGTCTTGACATATATTTTTAAATCTATATTTTAAGTAGCATTGTTTCATAAATCATAAGATGACTACACAGGTTTTTGGTCTGTAGGATCCTTATATTGGTTTCTGTTACTTATTTATAAATTAATTTGTCTATGAAGAAAAATAGGGAATACTAATCTATTTTTAGTTTATTCCCTCGAGTTTCAATCTTAGAAGAGCTCTAGATTACTTTCAGTTCCCGAGCGTAATTAGTTATTATTACGTACCTACGTCTCATGGTTTGTGGTATATGAAAATGTTCGTTTACTGTTTGGTGATTTTATTGGACGGATATTTACCGAAATTACTGGAGAATTGTTGTGATTTTATAAGGTTACTTCAAAAATAACGTTTAGATTGTAAAACGGTAATTTGTTTAGTCATCGCCACGGCATATGTAACTACTTACGCCATATCAAAATTTTGCTATTTTTATTTCTTTTTTTGTCTGGATATTTATTAGACAGATAATTTCCGAAACCACTGGACTGATTGTTGTCAAATTTTTTACATATTTTGTGAATATTTTGTAGACGGTAAAATGCTAACCAAAATTTGTCTGGCCATCCCCGTCAACAATTTGATGATGTCATCTCAAAATTTTGCGCGCGAAACGTCATTTAAATAAAATAAGGTACTCCTGTACTTGTGGTTTATGAATTGGGTTTTATTTTTTTTTAGCCTAGGCATCCAGATGTTCGCAAAAAAATTCAAACTTTATAAGAAATTTTCATACAAAGGGAACACAAAGCATCAGCTGCATGTAGCTCAGTTGATTAGAGCGTTATGCTCGCGGGGTCGATCTCCTCATGGTACATTTTTTTCTTGCACTGTGACTGGTACTATTGACAAATATTTGTAAAAAAAAAACTGGATTTGTTTGACTGTACTTCAGGCATATGGGAGGTTCTGTCAAATAATATGAAACAATTTTTTTCCTTTCGAGGAGAGTAGTTTGCTGTTTGCGGTAGCTCATAACAAAATCGTGAGTACAATATGAATCTACAATGTTGACTTTCTACATTCTCTTTAGTCCGGATTTGCAGAAACAATATGGTCGGTTATTTAGTAATAATCAATATTGAGCATAGACCATAACTTAACTCGTAGAGAGATAAAGTGTACTCAATCAGATTTAGCATTCTCTGTCCAGAATCATATTCTCAAATAGAACAAGAGTTTGGCACATAGGTGTAAAAGAGCGAATTAGACTGCTTAATATACAGGTGATCACATAAAAAACATAAAGTTGTTATTTGGCTTCAGTTAAAAGCACGATTTTGTTGGTGGTAGTTTTTTTGCAAATCTGTACTTTCCATACAATTTGTCAAACTGAATTTTGGAGAAATATGTTTTGTCGCAAAAATTAATAAAATTTATTAAAAAAAATTCAAGTTGAAACTTATGTTCAACTGTACTAAGATGTTTTAAAGTGATGTAACTGTTTTGAAGTTTCTATTAAATATTACAATTTCTACGTTTAAGAGATCATGTAGTATAGTAGATGTATGATATAAGAGATTTTACAGAAAGTTTTAATAAAATTAAAAATGTTTTTTATGTACCTACTGCTGATAATACATTAAATTTGTATCTTAAATTTGTGCAAGCACTGATACAAACGGCTTATTTATTAATTTAACTTTACTACGAATTAAGTTTAATATTCCTAATACCTCACAACCTTCAGCTGACGTCATGTGGGGCCACAACAACTTAGTCATCCCTCTAGGGAAGTGGGTTGTTCGACCCTATTTAGATGTACTGACTTTTCTTGGAGAAAGCGGCCGACCTTGTCAACATTTAGTGGAGGAGAAAGGGATATAACAGGGAGAAAACTATAATTATCAAAGGTAGGATCATGTCATGTAATTTGGACTTTTAAAAGATTATTAGGTGAAGTTTAGTGAATCTAAAATTGTTATAAATAAATCTAAATTTCAGTCCTCGTTTAGTTTGTGGTGTGTACGAGTATGTGTAGCTCACAAGCAAAGCTTTTATTATAAAAGAATGTTTAGCCACCATTGACTATTGGTGTTAAAAGTTCATTACTATTTGTTAAGATTTTGTCATAATACGACACGTGCTGCTCATAATTTTTAAAATTATAATTTTATTTTCCCAGCAGAAGCTAAAGGAAGTGCTGTAATAGAGTCCACCATCTGACTGGCTACTTCACAATTTCCTCGACATTTCATGGCTCTTAGACTAGGGAAACATAAATCTACCGTTACCGTCCGTTTTCTGCCTGTATCTATTTTAATTACACAGTCTTCAAAATCACCGCCCGATTGTTGTCAATTTTATATGTGTGTTAGGAATATCGTCCCCCACAACGATGAGTTGACGTCATCTCTAAAATATATAATAGCAAATGTTAATTAAATTTATAAAATACATACTCCTGCACTTTGGTCTATGAACCCTGTTGAGATTTTACCCCCGATATCCAGATCTTTGGTGAAAAAAATTAATTGTATAACATTTTGTAATTTAACTTTTCACCACTGTTTTCAGCTTATAAAGTTTTGTACGTTGCGTGGAAAACATTGTCGATTTTCTTCAAAAGCAGCTTCTTCGATACAATTTTTTTTTAGTTTTTAGAATCTTATTTCCGACAAAAAAAAACGATAATGTTTCCCGGATAACGTAGACACTTCTGTAAGGTGAAAACAGTGGTGAAAACTGTATTACGAAATTTCCATAAATCATAGAGAAATGTATTTTTTAAATATACGTAATGAAAAATTTCACCAAAATGCTAAAAAGAAGAGAACGATAAACTGTTTAAAAAAAACTGTTCTCGTATTATATGTACATACAACGAAAGGTTATATTTAAAATTTCGTAACAATACTAAATTTTTTGCATTCAATTCCGTAACAGATTTTATATTGAAAACTACGAAAAAATCACCAAAATGTTGCAAAAATGTGCGAAATGCCCATTATTGTTTGTAAAAATTGTTTTTATCTGTAATTTTTAATATAATAAATTAGATTAATATCTAGGGTATTAGTAAAGGATTTACAACTAGAGGGCTGTGAATACGACTTTTCATCTCAA